AATTCTGTGATCGCTAATAATGATTAATGGTTTTGGTGAGACAAGAATTGCAAAGAAATAATTATAGAAACATGTAAGCTTCTACTTCAGGTTAAATTCCAAAACCTGCACTTTGCATCAAAAATTAAATGCAAACCCACAAAAGCTATGTTTAAGTCAGTCTGGCATGTTAATATTGTACAATAGGGTTCATCATTACCATGGACAATAGCTTTGACAGATATGGCAATTTTCTGCAATGTCATGGACAAACCTTATTGAATTAACTTAAACCTTATTGAATTAAGCATTTGTATTATTCTGGGCCAGGGTTTGTATGTAATTCCAAGGAGGAAGGCAATTGCAAGCTCTTTGTGGCAGAGACTCAATCATGCTTATATTTTCAATAGCTCCAAGCATGCTGTTGTAGCTATGCACATAATTATCCAAGACGGTGACTGAGGATGAATCCCCGAAGCCTCTTTTGAAGCTTTGAGTGCTTGATCTTCAATTCTAAAATTCAATTTAACCATTTCTAAGAGTCCAAATAAGCTTTTGTACTTGACAGTGAAGCTCAAAATCACAGGGCTTGAATGTTCAGATGGCACAAATCTAAAATAGTGACTGGTAGCTGGTGTGCTGTGCTATACAGCCTGCTGTGTTCCTGCTATGCTCTTAAAGTGAAGTCAAAATAATCTTATTAACCTGTTTTCATTTGTAGCATCAATTTGTGTAGGTACATAATGCAGCAAAACATACAGATCTGAGTAGTTGCTGTGTCTTTTTGCCTTAATGTTTTGATGAAAGAAAGTCTTGCAAGGGGTAAGGAAAAAAGAGGGGGCTTGGTATTAGTCTCCTTAGATTTTCTATGCCTTATGAGAATGAAGCTGCCAATCTAGCTGCTTCTTAATCATCTCCACAATCAACAAAGCTAATCACACCAAAAATTCTAGGTGTATTTTCAGCTAACGTTGATTGGAATATCAGAAATTGATAGGAGATGGGTGATTTGCATAACACAGGGTTCATCTCTAGGGCTGTGAATGAATAAAAACTTGTTTGAAATAAATGTAGGTAATATGACATATGAATCGTAGAGATTATGAAGAGCATTGAGATAATATTTGTTTTAACCAGAGGCACACAACAAGCAAATGGAATAGTCTAGCTGTTCAGATCTGGATTTGGGCAAAAAGAAGCATTCATACTTTGTAGGTGATGCAATGCAGTAATTGGTTTTCTTTTGGCGATATCCATATTGAAGGCTTCATATATCATCATAACATGGCATATTTGTTTAAGACAGATATATTGATGTGGTGGTGCCATGCAGCCTTTATGGAAAACTGCTGTATAAATTTATGGAGATCTAAAATATATAATGCTCAGATACTATTGCTGGTGAATGTGATAAATCATAAAAATGGAGGTAAGTAGTAAAACATACATGCTAAGCTGTACATAGAATTGAATCTGTGTTTGTACAGTATCTAGTACAAAAAGGTGCTGCTGTTCCATGACTGTGGCTCATAGGTCCTATTGCAATACAGATTAATAATAATTGAATCAAAATTGATCTAGGAAACTTTGAGACCCAACATGAACCATAGAAACTCAAATGAGTAAGTCCAGTTGCAATTCCTTTTCAGTTCAAGTTGAAAGTGAATCTTAATCTGGGATGTACAGTAAGCAAAATGTCAGTCTTGATAATCTTCCCTTTTTCCCAGCTACCTGGGGATGAGTTGCCAGATCCGTCTGTTCCAGCCGGCCAATCCAATGCTTCTTCCATATTCATTCCATTCTCCCATGCACAGTCTAAGCACTGTTTTCTTGGCTTCCTCTTGTTCCCCACCCACAAACTCTAGTCTCAAATCCTTCCTTGGTATGTGCCTGTACCATCTCAGTCTCATCTCTTGCAGCTTCTTCTGATATCAGGAGTGAGAGCAAGGTCTGTGTTGATGTGTTTCCACATGTGGCCCAGCAATGTCATACCTGTCACTGCCCTTAAACATCTCATTTCAGTGGCTTCAGGTCTTCTCAAGTACCTCTCTCTGGTCGCTCACGTCTCTGATCAGTACAGAAGCGCTGGTCTTACCATGGGTTTGTACAGCTGTCCCTTAAGTAGTATGAGCATCCATGTATCATAAATCACTCCACTTATCTTATGCCAGAGTTCCCCATGATCAGCAGCCTTGTTTGCGGTTCTCTGTCAATATCTACATTTGCTGCTAACCAGTCCCCATAATACTTAGGTACTGGCCCTCAATGTTGTTATCATCTGGCTTGGTTCTGTATGAGTCATACATATGAATGCAGTCTTTTCT